CAGGAGCAAACAGCACAAAGCAGGGCAAGGAGGAGCAGAAAGTGGGTCTGAGGCGAGTAAAAACATCAGAGCAGGAAAAAAACCACATCAGTGGAAAGAGACTGAAAGCAGCAACAGCGTCCAAGAAAAAGCCTTCAGTGTAGTCCCCCCGGGCAGGTGTGTGTTTGAGCACTCTCTCCCTGCCCTGGGGAGGTGTGAAGGTTGATCGTTGGGCTGCAGGAGCACAGGGAGCAGAGCACAGCTGGCTGTGCTCCCGTTTGACTCAGCCTGGCTGGACAGGGGCACTTTGCAGGAGCTTCCCAAGCTGAGAGCAGCGACCTCTCAGCAAGCACCGGGCCCAGAGCTGTGGGGAGAAGCAGGAACAGAAACCCTCCTGTCCTCTGAGTTAAGCCTCACAGAGAGAGCAGTGCACCGGCCTGCAGGAACAGAAACCCTCTGTACTCTAAGTCAGCCTCACCTAAACCAGTGCCCCAGCCTGCCCGGGTCTGGGGACAAACAGATTCCCGTGGAAATTCAGAGCTGTCAGGTAAAAATGGCAAGAAATGGATCCATTCCACCGTGGTCTCTACACGGCAAAAGGTGGTCATTTATAAAACCAGTCAGTGTTATTATTCACAGGGCAGGAGAAGCAAAGGCAGAGGCCAAGGAGAAGAGCAGCACAGGGATCTTTGCAGTGACACAGCTGATGTAGGAGCAGCGAAAGGGAAGCTCTGGGCAGAAGGTGCCTGTTTGTGCCCTTTGCACCATCACACTCCAGGGAAGGCCAGATAGGGAAGACAACCTTAGAGCAGGATACAGAGCTGGTTTACTGGGGAAAATCTCCTACAAGAGAACTGCCACTGTCTCCCTCTGCCTTGGGCTGACCATGTGGGAAGCACTTGGAATATTTCAATCCCTCTCTGTAGACTGTAACCAGTCCTAATTTGTGCATTTCTAGCTCAGCAGAGAGCACAGTGGCTGCTGCTGAGGGCTAAACAGGGGTCAGGGAGCGATACTACTATCTGTGAATTATTTATGCACTGGAGCCTGGGGATTTGGGGTCATGGCCACAGTAAGAGAATATTCTGGGTCACCCCTCCGTGCTAGAGAAAAACAGCTTTGCAACCAAACAACTGATACTCGTTGTTCAAAGATTCCTTAACTCATCCCCACCCTGAAAGTAAAGCAAATACTCTGCCCACTTAAGAAATGCTTGAGAAAAAATAAAAACCTGACAAACTGATGAAAACAAACCGTCCTCACAAATGCAGACAGAGAGCATCAACATACAACTCTCAGAAATCAGCCCCAGCTTCTAGCTGGAGCTCAGCAATAGTTCTGGCTGTGGAACTCCAAAGCAAACCCAGCCAAGAGGTAATTCTGTATGATCAGGCTGAAAGATCCTAAAACCATTAAAAATCAGTTCAGTTCAAAGCATTACAAGTGCTTGTGCAAAATATGAATATTTCAGCTGCTGTTTTTCAAAGCTCTTCCACTTACTGCTCTCAGAAACAACCGTCTCAGTCACTGCCACTGCTGAGCCCAGAATCCCAGCAGTGCCTCTGCTTTAAAGGGATGTTGTAGTGCCTGGAAACAAGAGCTGATTCCAGCTCTGAGCTGCACATGCACATCTCCGTGCACAGCCAGCCTTTCATTTCACAGGAGAGTGACAGTTCTCCGGTGAATTTGTAAACCCTCCTTCTATCAAAAGACATTAAATGAGCCCTGCCTCCCTCCAAATGATCTTTCTGACTGAGTTAATAAGGATTTTCTGTAAAAGCTGGATGAGAAATGAGCAGAGAAATAACATCTACACACAGCACCGACCATTCACGAGGAAATAAAATTTACAGTGTGATCTTGCTCGTGGTGAAGTGCAGACAAGTCTTGATTAATCTTCCCTGAATGTGGGGTACTGGTCCTAAGGGGCTGTTTCCAGCCCTCTGTAGCAATTTCTGTTTGTTCTGCTGCTCTCCTCCTCATCCCAGAGGTTTTGCTGGGATGCACACGGAGATTTAATGTACTCACCACCACTACACTGAATTATTCTGGAACTTACACTTCACTCCAACAGACACAGCCTCAAACAAATAGAAATATCTGAGCACATCCTGATTCCCTCCTTCGCTGTTACTCCTCAGCAGCTGACAAAGACAAACCATTCCACTCCTCGTATTTATGTTCTGCTTAGACCACTGAGAGCGTTTTTCCTCAGCCTGATGCAGCCCCTGGCACTTCATAATATTTAAACCATCATGCAGTGTTGATCAAGTTCAGGTAACACAGCTCTGAAAGGTATAATCTTTTACCAGCTATCATATTATAGAAGTCAATCAACTCCTGAAAATGCTCTGGAAGTCAAGCTTCCCGAACACTCAATCTGCCATTCATAACTTACACACAGGTGAATCATTTCAGCAGAACTTCTCTAAATAAAGCAAAGCAAGCATCAAAGACATGAAAACATCAGGAATAATCCAGACAAGTCTGGCAAGGCTGTCTCTGATTTCCAAGGGTGAAGGATTCAGCCCTGTAGCACGCTGGAGCTGGAGCAGAAGTAACATATGGGCATCCAACCCAGATTTCCAAATTTAGTGTGAAGATAAGGCCCAGGCAAAGTTGCCTCGAAGCCAGAAGAGCTGGGCAGCTGGGGAACCAGCCCTCAGTTAACAGAACACTTAAAGGAGCCTCTTTTCTGGCTGAGCCACTCTCAGGACCCCTCACCACACGCAGCTGGGTCTGGTTTTCAGCACCATGGAGATATTTCCTCACGAGACCAGGGGCAGGTGGGGTTTGGGATGGAATATGTGGGTCAGACCCTCAGCAAGTGTAAACCAGCCTGGCCTCACTGCAGGCACGTCCATTCTCAGGGAGGAGTCTAAATAAAACACATCTCCCCAAATACATAAAAACTGCGTCACTCGTCTCTTTTTCTTTGTAAAAACCTCCACTTTCTTCCTCCAGTCTCTGTTAACTGCAACTGGAGTTCAGCCTTAAAAATATGGTCAACAATTTTAATAGTTTTGACTAACAATTCCAAATTAAAATAATTTTAATGAAGCATTATCTGCCAGAGATAGTCTTTCCCCACTCACAGTGTTCTTATAAAGGAGCCTCTCACCGATTTTTACGTTCAGACACGGGAAGCTCTTGGATTCTCAGCACGCAAGGAGCACTCATCATTTGGAGGGACTTTTTCATCATAAAATAAATATGAACTGAGAGAGTAGATGCATTTGTCCAAAATGAGAATTGCTACAGCAGCCTGAGCTTTTGCTTTGAAACAGGATTTTCTCTGACACATCAAGTGTTCTCAGACATGTAACAGCACTGCTGAGGAGACCTCAAACTACTCCTACACCAGCAAGGACAGAGTTAGCAGGGTTTAGAGGGATAAAATATGAAATATAAAAGGACAGATGCAGAGCTCTCCCCACCACCAGCGCTTTCCCATACAGCCCTTGGCACCACGAGGCAAAGGCACCATCCAGGGGGGTCAGAGCCGTCCCCTCCACACTTCCTAAACTTCTCCTGGCTGGGCCAGGCAGGGCAGGGTCCACAGGGGCCAAGGGGCTCTGCTGCCCCCGGGGCCGTGGAGGGTGCAGGGGGCCGGGGGAGATGTAGGGGAGTTTTGAGGGGCAGGAGGGGCATGGCAGGGGGAAGGAGGGAAGTGCCAGGGGCAGAAGGACAGGACGGGGGTTTTTGGGGGGGGGGGGGAAGGGGGGGCCGGGGGGGCCGGGGGGGAGGAGGGGGGTCAGAGTGCCCGGGCGAAGGAGGGGGTGCCCGGGGGCAGGAGGGAGGGTGAGCGGTGCTGGGGAGCAGGACGGGAGTGCCGGGGGGGCAATAGGGGGGTGTTGGAGGGCAGCAGGAGTGGGTACCAGGGGCAGGAGGAGGGTACCGGGGGGTAGAAAGGCGGTACCGTGGTGCCGAGGGGGAGGAGGGGAATGTCGGGGGACGGGAGGGGGGTGCCAGGGGATTGGGACGGGGTCGTGCCCGGGTGCAGAGGGGTGTGCTGGAGTACCAGAGATCAGAGGGGGATGCCGGGGTACCAGCATGCAGAGGGGGGTGCCGGGGGTGCCGGGATGGAGAGGGAGGTGCCGGGAGGAAGGAGAGGGGTGTCAAGGTGCCGGGATGTAGGGTGGGGGTGCCGGGATGCCGGAGGGGGCGGCTCCGCGGGGAGGGCCGGGCCGGGCGCTCGGCAGCGCGGAGCCGCCCATGGAACTGTCCATGGAACTGTCCGTGGAACTGTCCGTGGAACTGTCCGTGGAACTGTCCATGGAACTGTCCGCGGAACTGTCCGCGGAACTGTCCGCGGTACCGTGCACGGAACTGTCCATGGAACTGTCCATGGTCCCGCCCGTGGAACCGTGCACGGAACTGTCCGCGGAGCCGGCGCTAAAGCCACGGGACGATGACCCACGAACGGGGCCGTGGGGCAGCAGGACAGGCACCGAGGTGGGACGGGAGGGAGGGACCGAGAGGTGGGGGTGCCCCTGATAAGAACGTGCAAAGGAGGAACTCCTGGATAGAGGATGGAAAAGGAAAATCCTTTGATGTGTGGTGCAAAGAGAGAACTCTTGGACAGCCCGGGAAAAAACCTTGGATGAGTGACTCAAGGGGGGACCCCTCAAAGTGACAGCACGATGGAAGATCGTTTGGACAGGTGGCACAAAAGGGGAGCCCTTAGACAGCCATGGCACTGGGGAAATCCTTGGAAGGTGGAGCAGGGGGAAACTCACAGTTGGCCGGTACAAAGCACAAGGACTTGAATGGGTAGTTCAAAGGGGACTCCTTGGACTGGTGGTGTAAAAACCGAACCCTCAGACAGCCTGTTCAAAGGTGGAATTCTTGGAAGGCTCATGCAATGGGGAAACTCTTGGACAGGCTGCACAAGTGGGAAACCCTTGGATGGGGAGTGCAACGAGGAAACCCTTGAGCAGACTTTGCAAAGGGGGAACACTCGGAGAGGGAGGGGGCTGTCCCTGGCCGGGAGGGCGCTGGAGGCAGGGGAGGGGGCGCACCTGTGTATGTTCATCTCCCGGGGCGGGCGCCGTGCCTTGTCGTAGGCCACCTTGGCAAAGACGCCGGCGATGAGCACGAAGGCGATGGCCCCGCACGAGATGTAGACGGTGGCGTTGGTGCTGTCCTTGTCCGGGTCGTACTTGTTGGCGTCCCCGTCGCCGCCGTCGCCGCCGTCGGCGGGCAGGGCTCCGCTGGCCGTGGTGGGGTGGGCCCACTCGGGGCTCTTGTAGTTGCGGCACAAGCTCTGGTTGAGCTTCTCGGCGCGCTTGTTGCAGCAGAAGCGGTAGAAGCAGGTGCCGCAGCAGTAGCGGAAGCCCGTGAGGCTGTTGTTGCACTCGAACTCCTTGTCCCACTGCCCGCTCACGTCGTAGTACCCCCAGCACGTCTCGTGCGCCGGGGCCGAGCCCCCTCCGCCGCCCCCGCCCCCGGGGGGGCTCTTGCCGCCCCCCGCGCCTTTGCCGCGCCCGGGCAGCGCCGTGGGGGCGGCGACCCCGGGCCCCGCCAGCGTCTGGTTCAGGAGCTCCTTGCCCGGCTTGGGGGTCCGCCGCGCCGCCGCCGCCCCCTGGGTCCGGTTGCCCTTGGCGCGGGGGGGCCCGGCCGCCTGCGCGGGCAGCAGCAGCAGGGCCAGGAGCTGCAGGCAGAGCAGGAGCAGCGGCAGCAGCAGGTGCCGCGGCCCCATGGCGGGGGGCAGGCGGGGGGCAGGCGGGGGGCGCGGGGCGCGGCGGGCGGGCGGCGCGGGGGGGGCTCAGCGGCCGCGGCGCTGCCCCATGGAGCGGGGTGGGGACGGGGCGGGCGGGGTGGGATGCGGGAACGGGGGGGGTCCCGCTGCTGCCGCGCGGCTCCTCAGCGGCGGCTGCCCGGCGCCGGGCGCTTCATGCCGGCGGGCGGCGAGCGGCGGAGCCCGGCGGAGCGGGGCTGGAGGCGGCGGGGTCCCGGCGCTGCTCCGGAGAGGGGCTGCGAGAGACGGGGAGAGGGTGAGAGCCCGCCGCGCCCCGGGCAGCCCGGCCCGCCCCCGCCCGCACGCCCCCCGCCCACGGCCTTACCATGCCGGAGCGGGACTGCAGCGGGGCCGCGGGGCTGCCCGCGCTCCCAGCGCGGCCGGGGGCGGAGCGGCGCCGGAGCCGGGCCGGGCGCGGAGCAGGGGCCGGGCAGAGCCGGGGAAGGACCGCCCACCGCTGCCGGGCCGCTCCTGACATCACCGGCAGCACCGGCACCGCGCCCGCACCGCGGGGAACCCGCGCTCAGCCCCGGACCGCGCGGGGCGGAGAGCTCCGCACGCCCGCACCCGCACCCGCACCGACCCGCCGGCCCCGGGGTGGCTCCGGCGGCGCGCGTGGGAAGGGACCCGGAGCGGTGGCAGTGGCGTGGGCACCGTAGGTGCGGCCCCTGTACCTGCCCCTGGGGATGTGGTCCCTGCGGGGATGGGTAAGGATGCGGTCCCTGTAAGTGCGTCTGGCCCCTGTACCTGTCCATGAGGATGTGGTCCCTCTAGGGATGTGGTCCCTAAAGGTGTGTATGGCCACTGTCCCTGTCCCTACAGACTTGGTCCCTGCAGGGATGGGCAGGGATGTGTCTCTACAGGTGTGTGATCCCTGTACCTGTCCCTGGGGGTGTGGTCCCAGCAGGAATGAGCAGGAATGTGGTCGTTAAAGGTGTATGTGGCCCCTCTACCTGTCCCTGGGGACGTGGTCCCTGCAGGGATGGAGTCCCTGTGTGTGGTCACTACACGTGACCCCCCTGGGGATGGGGTCCCTGGAGGGATAGGCAGGGATTTGGTCCCTGTGGGTGTGTGTGGTGAGTGGCCCGTCCCAGTCCCTGGGGACATGGTCCCTGCAGAGGTGGACAGGGATGTGTTCCCACTGGCTCAGCTGTGGGTACAGTCCCTATGGAGGTGTAGGGACAGCAGCCCCCTCGTGGGCACAGAGGGGCCATGGTGGCTGTACGTTTGCAGTCTGTATGGCCCCTCAGTGTGTGCACTGGGGATTGTTCCTGTAAGAGTTTATGGGTCGATCTGGGTGGGGAATATGGTCCCTGTGGGTGTCTGAGGGCTCCATAAACCCTGTAGGTGGGTGGAGTGCCAGGGATGCCCTGGACATGTGATATGTTCCCTGTCAGTGTGTGGTGGAGGCACAATCTTCATGGATATGCAAGAGCAGGACCTATAAATGTGCACAAATTGTTTGGGTTGGGGGCCCCAGAGACACGTGCAGCCTCCCAGGGTTGGTGGAGTCCAGGGGTCTGTCCCACTCAGCTCAGGGGCAGAGCTCCCTCACCTCTCCAGAACCACAGAACACTCTGAGCTGGAAGGGACCCACAAGGACCATCAAAGTCCAGCTCCTGGCTCTGCACAGGACACCCCAAGAATCCCACCATGTGCCTCCAGGAGGTTCCTGTCCCAGGGCAGCACAACCTGGTGCTGGGCAGACATTGCCCCCAGGGCTGTCAGGCCCCACCAGGGCCATGCTGTCTCCCCTGCCCTGTGAACCCCTGCACAGGGACAGGCTCCCAGGCTCCACAGGGATTGCTACTCCAGCCTGGGGCCCTTGGCACCTCACTGAGCCCAGCTGAGTCCCAGTTCTCTGCTGCAAAGGCTCAGGGTGGAGAAAGTGGCATCCCCCACCCCAACCTGTCTGAGACACTCCCCACTTCCAACTGGGTCCCCTCCAGGGCAGCTCTGGGTGCTGCAGGGATGGGCTGGCAATGCCCTGGACTGGCCATACCCAGTGACCTGGGCACAGCCACCACAGGTTTGGTTAAGGCAGTTTTGAGCAAGGTTCCTTCAGGCACAGAAAGTTCAGTGCTGTGAGCCAGGGCCACCAAGTCAGAATTTCCTCAAAGTCCTGGTGCCTCCCCTGTGTCCCACTGCAAACTAAACTAAAGCCTTTACAAACATTTCCTGAAGATATCCAAGGTGCTACCAGCTGGAAGGACACATAGAGGACAGAGAGGAATCACAGCAATGGGAGCACAAGAAGATGGGAACTGAAGTGATGCCCTGTAGCTGCAGGCAAGTAGTTTTCAGGAGAGTGGAGAATGGGGTGTAGGGGGAAGAGAGCATTCATTGGAAAGGGAGAACTATTGCTAAAAAATCCCCTGCCTACACCCTGTAAATCATTTCCTCAAGTTACCAAGGTTTGAATGCCCACAACTCATTTTATAACTCTCTTAGGAGAGCCTGTGGACTGACGGGTTGGCAAAGAAAGCTTTAGCTCTGCCATCTAAAGCTGCTCTGATGCTGGGGTACACCTGGGGAAATCAGGTAATCACTTCACTCTTCAAGAAGCCCCACCCTTGCATGGCCCAAGGAGTACTGGGTGTGAGGGAGGTGCCCTGGTCTCCCTGTTAAATCCACGCCAGGGTGTCCCCAGCAGGGCCTGACCCCAAACCCCAAGCTGAGGTGTAGGACCAGTGTGGCTGTGTGAGCACCCAGGTGGAAGGTTGAGCTGGTTTAGTGCATGCACCTTTCTGAACCCTGAATCCCATGAGCCCAGCTCACCTGTCCTCCCCTGGGAAATAATGCTCCTGTTATGGGGCACCTCCAAAACCTGACATCCAAGGTCACAGAGCAGACTTGACTGATGCTGGGAGACCATCTCCAAACACTGTGGGCCTTCCAGCATGCCCTCATCAAATGCACCACAGAAAGCACCTTCAACCCTGAGTTGCCTTGAAACTCTGACCCTGCTTCTCCAAGGCTTTGTGAAGTTTGGGAGGCATCAGGATGGAGCAATCTGTGTCCTTCCCTCCCCTGGGAGGCCCCTGCACACCGATACAGGACCTGAGGTCTCTGCAGCAGCTGTGCCCAGAGGAGGGGAGAAAACCCAGCACCCTCTCCCAGGTGGGCAAGGACCTGCTGAGGTCAATCCTCAGGGGACAAGAGCCAGAGTTTTTGGGACATAAACCATTGACACTCCTCTGCCCTTTTGCCAAGTGTTACAAGGGCACAGGAAAAGCCTGGTGGAACTGCACTGTTCTCCCTGGAGAACAGCACTAAATGTTAAGTAGTTTGCCCCCCAGAATATTTGGGGTCTGGGATGTGCCTTGTTTTAGTGTGTCTGCACAGCCTTCAGAACCAGCTCCAAGGGCTCCTCTGGTCCCACCGTGGCTTTATCACCCCGAGGTAATGATGAAACACTCTGATGCCTCTGCCTCCTCCTGCTCAGTTTATCAACACCAACGAGCTAAAGAAGGACAGAGTCTCCCTGGATATCCCATATAATCCCATGGCCTGCAGCCAAAATACGGGATAGAAAGAGCTAAAGTAAATGTGAAAAGAAGGAAACAGTCCCCGAGGAGCAATGCTGGGTTTCTGGGACTTTCCTGGGATTTGAAGCCGCGTTGCTGGCTGTGGAAGTGAAGGAAAGGACGAGATGCTTGCAGAGGAAATGCCTCTGCTGCACATCCAACCCTGCCCAGGGGAGCTCACTCTGGTGCCAGCTCCGCTCCCTAATTCCAGCCCCACCTGGAAGTCACTCCAAAATCTCCAGCACGTTCTCTTTTATCTCCCGTCCCATCCTCCCCGGGTTGTTTTGGCAGCGTGACTGTTTCAGAGCTGTTTGCTTGTTTATCTCCTGTGCCGGGTGCTTTCATCTCTCTCCCGGAGCTGCCGCGGCTGCAGGCGGGGAAGGGAAGCGCAGGTTCAGAAATTCCTGTTCGCTCCAATCCCTAGCCCGTTTTCCTGCTACCCCCGTCAGACGCTGATGACTTTGTGAGGAGTTTGCAATGAGTCTGATGTGCTCAAAAGCTGATTCTTCCTCGTCAAGGGATTAAATCGTGACTGTGAATCTTCATTAAAATGAGTCCAGCACTTTGATCCTAATTTTCCTTCTAAAATTAATGTAGTTACGAAAAGCTAATAATAGGAGTTTGGGGGATTATTTCCATGGAGCTGCATTCTTTCTTACTTTAATAGGTATGGGTGGGTCCCGAGTTTGTTACAAGGATATTTACTCCCAGGTACAGACAGTGAATGGAAAGCAGGCAGGGAAATGTGAGGAGAACAAGCACAGTGAGAGCAGGCACAGAGGCAGCAGGGCCTCACACGCAGCAGGATGGGCAGTGCCAGATGTGATCAGCTTCTTATGCAGCTTCCTGAGCAGCTGCCTTAAAATAGAGGACAAAAGTCTACCCCAAAACAGGGACATTTCATCAGCTTTTAGTGGTTGGTTGATTCTCTGGTGCCTGAGAGAATTCTGTGGTTTATACATTTTTTTGTGTAGTTTGAGGAGCTGTGATTATTTTTCCCCATGGGAACATCTTGTTTCTGTTTCATTCCTCTCATCCTCTCACCACTGTGGCAGTGCCTGTCCCCAGCTCGTGCTGTCCTGCAGCTCTGACGTGGCTCTGTCTTGGGTCATTCTCTGCTCTCAAGCTTCTATTTTCTGTTTGGGAGAGAGGGATGAAGGGAGGAGGTGCCAGGCCATGAACAGATGTGTGTGTGCAGCTGGGGACAACTGTGCAACCTGGGGATGAACGTGACAGCCAGCATTCCCAGGGGAGGGGCAGTGTGTCAGGAACAGTGTGGCAGCAGGAGCAGGGCAGGGATTCTGCCCCTGGACTGGGCACTGCTGAGGCCTCACCTCGAGTGCTGTGTCCAGCTCTGGGCCCTCAGTTCAGGAAGGCCATGGAGGGGCTGGAGCAGGTCCAGAGAAGGGCAACGAGGCTGGGGAAGGGTCTGGA